GCGCAATGTGTAGTGCGCCTTTGAAATTGCTATTATATGATTTGTGCTGTATAACTCCAGTATCAATATGCCTTCATGAACTCCTCATTTGGTTCACTTAGGCTGGGAACCCATTGCTCTTGGAACAGCATGAAGAGTTGATCAGGAAAAAAGAAACACGAAAGTGTTCATATTGAAAATGCTCGTGAGGTCCAACATCGTCTTCAGTCGATTGAAGGTAGGTCCTTTGTACTGTTACTTATTGCTTTTTTGTTTCTCCTTTGGGTTTCTCCTTTTCTTTCCTATGCTTCCGTAGTATAGGTGAGATCGCCATGCTCCTTCCACGTGTGGAGAACTATAAGAAAAAGGAGTTTCTTCGCACGAAAATCAAGATCCTTCAGAAGAAAAAGGCCATGTTGGTAGGTGATTGTGTTGGTTGATATTTTTCCTCTGACATTTTTAAAAATATGATGCTGTTGTGATTTTAGGACTTCAAAGAAAGCGAAGAACGATTCGAAGTGGAAGAAGCCGCAGTAGACCAACTTCAATCTGTCGTCAAGGAAAGCGAGAAGAAGGTTGGATGGATCTATTCTTTTTTTCGTATAGATCGTGAGCATGTGTTCATATTTCGCGATTGCGTAGAATCTGCTACCTGGGAGATCCTGCTCATCTTGGGAAATGGCCAATAAGCGGAACCAGTAAATACCGGTGTTCTATCGCGGGTTCTTCCGAATTGATCCGAGATTCTTCACATTCACTTTGTGTGAACGAGGCTACGCAGTAGTGGTCATCCCTATAGGCCACATCCCAAAGATGGAGAGAGAGCATGGCTGCATCTTACATTTGAACGTGGGGCAAAATGTCCTTTACCTGGGTGAGGCGTGTCCTGGCGGCGGGAAAATTTTCTTGCAGATTACATCCTCTCCCCTCGAAACTTTCTTCTCTGGTCCTTCCCCATCCGACCTACCACTTACCTTATATTTCCCCAACATCCTGCCACTTTTGCGTGGTTTTTTTCCCGGAAATTCTTCTTCTTTTCACCGAAAAACTGCCATCGAGTGGGGAGCTCTCGAAACAAAAAAAAAGTCGCGAAAAGAGAAGCTGAGAACTTTTCCTTGAAGAAGAAAGTTGCTCCCTCCCGCGACCAAATATGGGGCCCTCGCTGAAGATCACAAGCCTGCGACGTGCCCTATTCTTGGAATCGTTTCATTCGAGAGGATTTATTCTGAGCCATTCCGACTTGTGGGGGGCAGAAATGATTACATTTGTCCCAAAGCGATACCTCACCAGTTCATACCTCATCCAAAAGAAGTTCGTAGCCACGCCCTGACCATCTCTGTGATTGTATATTGGGGGTTCACCGTATTTTTTGTTGAAAATACCATGTTCCAGATGCAAAAATTGCGGGCGAAAATAGAAAAGGAGGGAAAGCAGGAAAAGGAGTATTCAACGAGGCAGAATGAAATAGTGGGTTGTTTTGTTTTTATTGGCGGGATGTATTCAGTTTCTGATTATTATTTAGCTGCATCAAATACGAGTTCCTAACCGACGACGTCGATACGCTTACGAACCGAAATTTATACTCCGATAAGGTGCGTTCCGGGGTTTGGCCTTGACCAAGGCCATGCCCATACCTTGCGACAGTTGAAGTGAGGAAACCGTGATTTCAGAGAGTCCGGAATCAGTAGAACAGAGGAAAGGGTTTGATCCTATCATTCCCCCAACTGTCTTTTTCTCTTTTTCGCGCATTCTTCTGATTCGCTCAAGTACTTCAGTTTTCCAGTGTCATGAATAGAACGAAGCTATATGCCTCCTCGATATTTTTTTATTTCGCTTAGCAAATTTAGGTCCCTCGCAGCTAGCGAGCGTTTCAATCACCTAAAGAAACAGAATGACAACTGGGAGCAAGAGATGGACTCGTTACGGAAGCAGGTTGATCGTGTGCGCGAGAATGTTTCTGCTGCAAAGGAAGAAATGAAAGGATATCAGGTGTTTTCACTTTCCTCCAGTTTTTTTTGCTGTTGCAAAAATCATCGTTGTTTTGGGCGAGAAGGCAACTAAAGGTGGGGCCATTGAATGTTCCAGCGAAGCATGTACAGTCATCTTTGTGAAAACCTGTGAGTTCCTTCGACCGAAGTGGCTCACACGCACCACTCTTTGCAGATTGACAAGAGCTTGCAGGTTTCACCAAAGTTGAGATCTGCTTCATTAACAGGAGCTAGCAAAAGGAACTTGCGAATGCCCCTCCCCCCTCTCCTCCAAAAGTGAGAACAAAACGCCGTGTTCCTTATTCACCGTAATGTTTCAGGAGTTCAAAAGAGAAACGGCACAGAAAACAGAGCAATATGCCGAAGAAGAGGAGAACTTATGCAAAATGGAAGACGAATTGCAGGCTGATGAGAGGAAATTATCCGCGGAAAAAATGAGTGAGTTTCTCACTTTACTCTTCTCTTTTCTTACTTTGTTGATATTTTTATATAAGTACAGGTGAAATTGTTGGCCTTTTGGCGAATGAAATGGAATCTGTAATAAGGTTTTTCCGTCTCCTGCTCCCTTGCTGCGCAGCGTTTCCACCTATCTTAGTCTTCTATACTCAGTCTTCTTTCTTCCCCCGGTCACTGAATGAGGGCATTTAAATGTTAAGGGCCATGTTATTGCTCTTTACTAGGAAGAGCTGCCGTTCAATACTTTCGCGTAGACTTTTAAGACGCGTTGGGCGAAAATGGAAGGGAGTATTCGGTGGAGAAACCATTATTCTGAGTAAATGCCAGCTCCGCCGCGTAGATCAATACCTTATACTCCCCTTTCGCTTAGTTTGCGGATCTCCCGACGCTCGAATGATCAGATCGATGTCTAATGCTTTTTTAATACTTGTCTCTGGCGTTTTCATACTTTACGAAACACAGACGAATAGTATACGCACGGCCGGGCGAAAACGGTCAAAATCCTGCGAAGAAAAAGCCCCGTTCTCAGTGACTTGTAATATATTTCGGACGAGTTTTAACCGCAGAGCATCTTACAGTCAACTGCACCTCAAGATATGTTGTACCTATGTATGCCATGCTGCATCACGGCCGCTTCCATACCGGCAATCCCTTCGCTTATAATTTGCTTAGGCAAGATAAATGAATAACGAGCTGTCCAGGAAGGTCGTCCATTTGTGGGCGGGCGGGCGTGGCGGGCGTTTGGGACGTAAGTTGTGGCTTGATGGCCCTTATAAGGGCACCTTCCTCGGGGAAACCGCTATGCAGCGCCTGCCCAGGGTCGCGGAATTCTATCCTGCCAGGAGTATTGATCCTAGTCGTCTTGGGGATTTATCGTGCCAACTGCCTTGAGTTGACTTCTTCCTCATATAACCACATTCTACGCTATACTGACATTCCAAGTTCAATTCATGCGATAGCAGACCAATCTCTACGGTCTGCGCCCTCCCCTCTTCACAATCAGCGCTCAATGATCCTGGGCCTTCCTTTCTACTTTTATGTCGCAGTAAGTGAGCTAACCAGCCAAGCGTCATTTAAAAACCTCATTCCGACTCATCTCTATTTTTCCGTACCTTCCCGTTCGCTTTTGTGGCACCCTCTTTTGCATGGTTTCCCCGCCCGTTCTCATACATGCCGGAAGTCCTGTTGATGATAATGAAAGCTGCTCATTTTAGAGTTGCGTGATGAGGAGAAGCGCATTGAACAGATTATGGAGAGTCGTGTTCGTATTCTTGAGAATATGCGCAGCAATATGGCTGATGAGGCATGGCGATGGTATCAAGCGAATCGCGATAGATTTCGGCATCCAGTATACGTACCAATTCCTTCATGTTCGTTTACATGTGTTACTTTCTTGACAAGTTCTTTGTCTTGAATTTTGATTCTTTCTTTGCGAAAGGGCGCGTCAACTTTTTGTAAGATGACGTACCTTGATGGCGAAATCGCATATGTTTTACTCGATAAAAAAAATATTAAAGAAAAAAAAAAAAAGTGAATCTGATAGCTGCTGGCGAGATTTGCCGATGTTCATCTTTGGTTGTAAGGAAGATGAGGCGCTTCTGACTGACCGTAGACACAACTGGAAACTTAATTCGACGGTTGTTGCTCCTTCGCAGGGTATAGTTGTTCATTGTTAGCTTATTCAGTCAGCTTACCATGCGAGAAAGCCGGCACCTTTAGTATTTTGCATTGCTTCGCTTTGACTTCATCAATGGGGCAACCCAGATTGCAGTTGCCATTTTCAGGTGAACTTATCGTCACTTTCCTCGACTGTTACCCATGAAATGAAGGGATTTGGTTTTACGCGTTTTGCTGCCGATTTGTTCACTTCACCCGATGTCGTAACATTACATGTGCAGCGTTGCTCGAGTAAGTTGTGTAGTTACTATTTTCAGGACGTTCATTAAGATTTCTGGAACCCTTTTTTCAGCTGCATCAAGTACCGATCGGATCGGCAAGATCGAATGAATACTATGATGAAATAAAATCTGCCTTTGCGAACACTCCGTACAAATTGTATCTAACGGATAGGTACAGGGTCAGTTGTCTTTTCCTCATATTCAGTGATTTTGTTACTTTTTATTTCATTGAAAAATCAGCTTCAGCACATAATCGCTTGCCTGAAGCGGCGCCCATACTTTGCGAATGTGAAGCATCGATGACGAGCGATTAGTTAGGAACAATGGCACATCATCGTTGTGCAAAGCATAGCAGAGATCGTAATGGGCTGCTCGCGAGAGGAGATGGACTAATTTTCTGATGAAAACCTCTTTTTTTTTCCATTCGCGGCTTGTGACCGAATCGCTGCTTATTCACCCTTAGCAAAGATATTAACACAGCCCTATGTTATCGGTTAGATGGCAGATCCATGTATATGTTGAAGATAATGATTTCCAGGTGCAATTTACTGTTTCGAAATATGGATCTCACGAAGTCATCGGCCAGCAGAGTGAATTAAGATCTCCAGCGCAGTATTTTGTAGCGCACACGTCCGTCACCCTGATGACAAGACCCGATTTGAAGAGGAGCGACAACAGCTTCGAACTCGAGTATGATTTTTGTCCTAATTAGCAAATACGAGACCTTATCTCGCTAATTTTTTTTTCTATTTGGGTAGGAGCGGTTTAGTGGCAGGTGGCGGCGCTTGCTGTACCCGCGGTTAGCGGATCAGATCCGGGACTGCTTCCGGCTAACCGACTAAGCATTCCATCCCTTGGCGCCTGCTCAGCTGATAGTTGACTCCGCTGGAAGTTTAAAAACTTGCACCTGCGAATTCGTCGACCGCGGCAAGTCATTTTATAGGGAGTGCGAAGGTGACTACGATTTGAATTGCAACCAGGACGCGTAGCACATCCCACGAATGGATTGACTCTTTGGTCGCTTAGATCTCTCTTTGGTACTTCAACCTTTTGCAATTTCAAGCGACAATCCGTTTAGGAAAAAGAACTGATCGATCGGCGGAGCCAAGTTGAGAGAAAAAAGAGCAGCCACTCAGAAGGAAAGAGAGGCTCTGAAAGCGAAGCAGGTACTTAAGAACGTTTCCTTAGTGACTTTGTTGGCGGCTGAAGTAGTCATTCTTTTCCGAGTGTTCTGTTTTCTCCCTTCCAGTATTCATGCTAACTCTGTTTTCAAAATTAGGCTGAGTGGAGAACCAAGAGGGATGCTCTCACGAATCTTCGAACGATCCTTGAGCAACCGAGAAAGCAAGTGAGTCGAAGTGCTTTTTTTGTACTAGAGGCTAGGCGCAATTTGGCTTGGCGGGTGTATTTTGCTGCTTCCCATCGATCACTTCCGATGCCACCTGTGGATACCTGAAAATCCCTGTAAAGTTATGCAGTAGCTAGAGATTTGTTTACACTTCGCAAGAGTATTTGACATGTAATCTTACAAGAACTAGCAAAAGGAGCTGAGCAAAGAGCAAAAGTACAGAATGCCCCTCCTAAGCCTAATAGCTCCGTAACTTTTTTCTAAAAAACTGTTTTCTATTTGCTATTTAGCGCTTGTGCATAGTTATCTTTCACGGCTTTTATATTGATTTCAGGCTTGAGATGCTATCAACTAACAGGCCTAACATAGATCAAGCTCGTGCAGCTCTTCAAGAAACCAAAGCGTTGGCGAGCAAAGAAGTTCATGAAACAGCCATGAAAATTCTGAAGAAATTGGTATTCAATTATAAGTTTCTGTAACTCGTAATATGAGGTCTATAAATACACGTCATTCAGGAGAAACTGCGTAAAATCTGCGTGGAAGAATCGCTTCTTCGTTTAGCTTTGAGAAGTTTGCGAGAGGCGCTGTCAAAAGTTGACGAACAGCTTCATACCATAGAGCAGAAAATGCAGGAGGACGTCGTTAGTTTACTACTTTATCATGTTATTTTTCTTGTAATGCTTTCTAACCTGCAGAAAACTATTCCAGGCTCTCATGGAAGGCAGGTTGACAGTATTTCGCAGTGCAAAGGAAGATCTGAGGCGAGCGTCGGAAAATCTGTTCGAGTACTGTGGCTTGAAGACGTTGGATGAAAGCAAAATGTCGGCAGAGGAGAAGAAAATCCCTAAGATGCTAGCCGCGGTAAGGAGTGTTTCCTAGCACGCTTCCGAATTCCAAATACCATTTGCTACTGAGCCCTAGCAGGCGCGACATCTAATTTTTTAACATTAAAAAAACTTCGGGTATCAAAAAATATAGCATAGGCACCCAGTTTTCAAAATTATATTTGAACAATGTTTTTGAGCCTCAATTGCACGTTCTGTTTGTCGTTGGTGGGGATTTCGAAGTGATTGCTTGATGTGGGGTGCAATGGTTGTAAA